TAACAGAGCTCCACAGCAATAATACTCCCAGTAATGTGTCTGAGTGTATGACAGAGCTCCCCAGCAATACTACTCCCAGTAATGTGTCTGAGTGTGTAACAGAGCTCCACAGCAATAATACTCCCAGTAATGTGTCTGAGTGTATAACAGAGCTCCCCAGCAATAATACTCCCAGTAATGTGTCTGAGTGTATAACAGAGCTCCACAGCAATAATATGCCCAGTAATGTGTCTGAGTGTATAACAGAGCTCCACAGCAATAATACGCCCAGTAATGTGTCTGAGTGTATAACAGAGCTCCACAGCAATAATACTCCCAGTAATGTGTCTGAGTGTATAACAGAGCTCCACCGCAATAATACTCCTAGTAATGTGTCTGAATGTATAATAGAGCTCCACAGAAATAATACTCCCAGTAATGTGTCTGAGTGTATAACAGAGCTCCACAGCAATAATACTCCCAGTAATGTGTCTGAGTGTATAACAGAGCTCCACAGCAATAATACTCCCAGTAACATGTCTGTGTGTGACAGAGCTCCACAGCAATAATACTCCCAGTAATGTGTCTGAGTGTATAACAGAGGTCCACAGCAATAATACTCCCAGTAATGTGTCTGAGTGTATAACGGAGCTCCACAGCAATAATATTCCCAGTAATGTGTCTGAGTGTATAACAGAGCTCCACAGCAATAATACTCCCAGTAATGTGTCTGAGTTTATAACAGAGCTCCACAGCAATAATACTCCCAGTAATGTGTCTGAGTGTATAACAGAGCTCCACAGCAATAATACTCCCAGTAATGTGTCTGAGTGTATGACAGAGCTCCCCAGCAATAATACTCCCAGTACTGTGTCTGAGTGTATAACAGAGCCCCACAGTAATAATACTCCCAGTAATGTGTCTGAGTGTATAACAGAGCTCCACAGCAATAATACTCCCAGTAATGTGTCTGAGCATATAACAGAGCTCCACAGCAATAATACTCCTAGCAATGTGTCTGAGTGTGTAACAGAGCTCCGCAGCAATAATACTCCCAGTAATGTGTCATAGTGTGTAACAGAGCTCCACAGCAATA